TGCCCGCCGCCCCCCCCCCCACCCTCACTACCGTGCCGCTGCCACCTGAGAGAGAATCACCTGATCCGCGAAATCAGATTTAGGCTCGCTCCCGCTCGCGCGCTGGCCAGGATTCTTACATGTGGCGCCGCGTTAAATTTAGAATTTAGGCCGTCTTTTCCCTTTCCGCCCCGACGCGTCGCCTCGTCACCTGTCGACACGGTTATTTAGCGATATCGCGAGTATTTCTAAAGGCGATTAGATTATTCGATTGAGCCTATGGCATTTATATAGACCACTCGTAAGACCACTTTCGGAAAAAAAGTGAGCTATTTGCGTTCACGATAATCTCGCGGACACACGTACCGAGTTTCGCCTACTGTCGCTCGAGACGGAAACTCGTTCAGCGAGAAAAATACATCTCGATTCGGATGCAGAAAAAGAAAACGCGTGCCTCTCTATTTTAATTTCTTATTTAATTGAAAAGTACGATAATAACTGCAGAAAACAAAACAACTTTTCTCAGACTGAATCGATATATTATTTAAGCACACCATCTCGGTTTATAAACGAAGAAAAAGGGCTCTTTAAAAAAGATTTGGTGCACTCATAATGACTCAGTTCCATGCCTGTCGACGCAGATAACTTTAATGACGGCAGCTGAACCGCATTATTCATGAACCACACGTAGTGCCAGTGATACTAGTTGCAACACTATAGGGCATAACTTCGACAGTTTAATTAAATCGACACTGCTACGGCCCTAATATCTCAGTTTCACCTGACGTGTCTCTTTCGCGGTTTAATTACGCCGCGATCGGACGATCGCATCCGCGCGCGTGTAACGAAGCGTCGACACGGACGAGAAACGAAGCGATATCAGAAAGTGGAAAACGAAGAGCGGAGGGTACGGCAAACGCGGAATATTTAAGCGTGGGAAAAAAGACGTGCACGAGAAGACGGGGCAGGAAGGAAGAAGTGAGAGGCGGATACCGAGAACTTATACGAACCGAGTAAATGAGAAGGGTATGCCCTGTTAAAAGGGCACGGGCGAAGGGAAAAGTGCGATTCGGGTGTAAAACGCGCGAGGAATCTTGTCCGTTGAAGAAAAAAAAAAGAAATATAGTCTCATGCGTCGTAAGCAGAAGGGAGCGATGTTTCCCCTCCCGAAAACTCGTGTGAAAGATCACAATTTTCCTTCTACGACGATTAAAGTTGTGTGGAAATGTGGGAACATATACGATATGATAGCATGCACAGTTGAAAAAAAAATTTATTGAATTTAATCTATTTTTACCCATCCTAAATGGTCCACCCAAATTTTTGTAAAATAAAGTATTTATGTCGTAATAAGATAAATAAGTTAAACGTAATATAAATATTATGTGAAAAATTAACACAAAGAATAACATTTCGACACAATTTGAAAACAAATTGTGAAAGCATATTCCTTCCGTAAAATTAACATTTATGTGTGTTAAATTAATTTTACGTTAATTTTATTAATTGAAGGTCTTGCTGCAACAATGCTAAAGCCTATTTTACGGTAACCGTAAAAATTGATCCATTATAATCAATTATTCTTTTCACATTTGACTACGATTGGTCAATTTTTACAGCTTATTGTAGAAACTATTGTAGAGTAGGCTTAAAATAGCTGAGTACTGATAAAAATAGATTTTTCCATCGCTCTAACTTTATAGAGTAAATTTTCTCCGTTTTTACAAAATGTGAATTAATCCACTGTTGCAGCAAGCCTTTCAATTCATTTTAGAATTTACGTTTTCACATTATACGTATAAAAATTTATGTTACTTGTTTACTTATTCATAAATGATGTTATTGTAACACAAAAAAAAAATTAAGAGCCACGGTATCTTACGTCACAGTATAAGCACGGGACCATTCAAATAACGCAATCGTATTATGTGAAATTAACACTCGGATTTGTTGAAAATTTTACACAAAAATTTCATACAAAACCACAAGATCGAGTTTAATCGAAATGTTTTTTTTTATTTGATGAATATCATATCATTACACGAGCGTTGGAAAAATGAGGATACGTAATCTACAATGTGTATTAGGCTGTAAGCCGTAAGTCAAAATAATTGGTCAATTACAATCACACCTGAAGAGATCGAATAATTGGCTGTAATTGATCAATTTCTTACGACTTATGGCTTACAGCTTAATATTGCTGCCCATTGTAGACTATGTGAGAGATGCGCAACCGGGACAGTTGAACGATCCTATAATATACGGATATAATTTCGGGGTCCATTATGAAGCAACGCGTCGTCGCGCTTACCGCTAATTCGTAATCCCCGACCGATTGTATCTTTCGCAGTGGATATACGCGTTGCGGTTACACATATGCGATACACGCTACCGAGATCTAACGAGACAAAGGGAATCAATTGAGCTACGACGGGAGCGAGTTAATCGACGAGTTCTCGGAATCCGGCGCCCTCGTCTGGACCATCGATCGGACGATCGGGGTCCTCGGCGGTCCCTCCTGATAACTTTCCGCGAAACGCGCACGCTGCAGCCATCAGGCAGTTAACCGCGAGTACAATCGACACGCGAGCCGTCGACTCCGCGAAGCGGTCGGTCGTCGATCGCACGTTCGTTTACGATCACGGGTGAAAATCTGCGCGCGCGTGTAAGGAGAAACGATGGAAGGAAGAAGAAGAAGAAGAAGAAGAAGAGGGTTCGCGAAAAGAGAGAGCAGGCGCGCGAGTGCAACGGCGGAACAGGAGGTAACACACAATGATGCGAGAGCGTTGAGTCGGGACCGTGCGCGAGGGGGGCTGCTGAGACGGAGGGGGGGAGAAGGTAAGGAGAACGTCCAGTGGCATCCGCGGCGCGGCAGGAGGAAGGGGGTGGGGAGAGGGGGATCGCAGAAGCGACGACCAGTCTTCGTGACGGAGTGGGGAGTTGGGCCTCATCTCGGCGGCCAGTTCGACTCGAGTCTCGCGACTCTTCGCGTTGGCGCGCCGGCCGAACGAGAGGGTAACCCCTTGTAACGAGTAACAGGTCTCGGCCGCGGCGAGAATTTTGCGTGCACCCCCGGTGTGTCGATCGACCGACCGATCGTGAGAAAAGTATACCTATACGTGCCGTCGTCGCGCGCCCTCCTTTCTTTCTCGCCGCGTCCCGGAGTTATTCCCCTCGCGTGCTCCGAATCCGCGAATTCGGTTCGATTTATCGAGTTTGTGTATGACAGTTTCGCGCGATGTGATCCGGCCGGCGTATCGCCTTTGGCGTTTTTCGGCGTCTCTCGGTCGACGGAGAGAGCCGATCCACCGCGGCCACCGCCGCCGTGGTCCTCGGCCGTGCGGTGAAGTTGTCAGCGACGCGAAGTTGCCCCGCACCGGCTCTCGGCAAAGTTATCGGCACAAAGTTCACGGCGCGGATTCGGCAGTCGGCGAGACGAACGTGCGCGCGCGACAGTATTGAAAGAGAGAGAGAGAGAGAGAGAGAAACAAGAAATTAGAAACGAGAGGGAAGCGCGGAGTCGGAGTTTCGAACGTTTTCACGGCCTGACTCGCGCGTGGTGTTTTACAGTGTTTACGGTGATGCCGCGAAGATGCCCGCGTCGTCGTCGTCGCTCGCCCGCCCGGTCGTCGTTATCTCTCGGTATCGCGCGGTGAATTCGCGGCGGGGCGGCGCGACGGCTCGCGGAACGCGGCGGCGGCGGCGTCGCGGTGGTGCGTCGCGGCAAGTGCAGCAGGTGCATCAGGTGCGCCGACAGCGTCGTCGTCGGCAAGCTGCTCGCGCGCCGATACCCGGCGATGCGGCCGGACGCGGCCGTGATATTTGAATCGCGAACGCGAGTTATACGTCCGCTACGTGGAATCGTCGGTACGGGAGTGACTCGTCGTTCGTACTCGCGCGACCGCGTCAACGCCGGAGACGGAGGATCGTCGTCGTGCGCCACGGGGAAGGAATACGTCGCGGGACTGCCTGCAGCAGCGTCGTCTCGCCGGTGATCTCGTTGAACCTCGCCGCGGACGCTACCATTGGCGTCGCGCTGTGCAGGGAAAGCAGCAACAGGTATGTACGCGCATATACGTATATATATATACATATTATATATATATA